ACCTTAGGATCATAGCAGAGTTCAGTTTGGAGGGGACATCAGGAAATCACTAGTCCCACCTTCTGCTCAAAGCAGGATCATCTATGACCCTTCTTTACTTCAACCAGAATACATAGTTTTTCCTATTACATCTGCATGAGGATGATAGTGGCTATGTCTTGATGGGTGAATTACACAGCCCCAGGGAATGTTAGCTGTCACCAAGAAAAAGTGGCACAGACTGGCCAACTCCATTCTTCTAAACTATTTTTGCTTCCAAAACCAGGCAGTTGCATTCAAATTGCGTACTGGAAATCGTCTTCGTCACATGCAAACTCCTGAACCTGGGGACAGGTTGTGAGAGAGCTAGTTAGCCAGGAAAAAACATTCTGGGGCTGTTTTAAGTATCTCAAAGCATAGACAGAACTTTGCACAGTTAAACTGGCCAGCATAGATGTAGCCAGTGTGTCACTCTCTGAACCTGCACGGTGTGAATTCCAGGGCATTCAGATTTTTGGCAGCTACCAAGGTTGAAAAGCAGATTTCTGACTTTTAGCTCACCTTATACATGCAAATAGAAAAGCCTCTGATTAACAGCACAATAATCAAATACCCATCAAAGAATGCTGGCCAGAAGGAAACGCCAAGATCCAATTAAAATCAATGGAATTTTTATCACTGACTTGACTGAAATGAGATATGGCATGAGTGGCATCAGTCACAATTGCCTCATCCTGGATAAGATATCAAACAGCTTGTGAGGTAAACAGGGCTGCTTTATAGATCATCAATAATGCAGCTTCATGCAGGCGCTTTGACAACGTGTTTGCAGAGAGCCTGTAAAACAGTTGAAGCAAATACATTTTTTTAATTAGAACCTTCATTGATATTGAATAAATTTAAGAGACAGAAGAACTAGAAGATGTGGGAAACCTGAGCTTATGCAAAATGAACACTCTTCATTTTTTCAGTATCTAGTACATGCTATTATTTATGAAAAGTTTTTTTTCTGAATAAATGAGAACTACTCCTGTTGATGAAGATGATCCAGTGTTCATTGTTTCGAAGTTTTCAATTGCTTTCTTCCTATAGCAGTATATAAACAAGACCTTTTAAAGTACGTGGTAGTCTGGTTATTAGGGAGATTGATTTGACCATGGTGAAGTCCCCTTCTCTACATAATTCAGAAATCTGTTTCACACCACATCGCTCCAAATTTTAAAGAAAAAGAATGATTCCATGGCTTTTTACATACTAATCGATCACCTCACTTTTAAACTACAACCATTTATTCTTTATTCAATTTAAAACCTTACAACAAAAGCTTAGTGAAAACTAATGTCTCCAGAAACAGGTTCTCAACCGCTCTGCTCTCAGTCTTGTGTTGCAAATAATAAAGCAATGGGAGCAGGACCAGATCGCTGTTCTGCTTTGATTCTATGTTCTGGACAGGGTGTGTTTAAATATATCTCAGACTGTCTGTGGCTCGATTCAGTCAGGTCCCCTCATGCAATTAGTTTCCTACCTATCAACATAAGAGCACATTGCTGTGAAGGGTGAATAAGAGGAGGCTGTGAAGATGGGGGCCCTGCAGGTACACCAGCACCGCAGCAGACAGAAAAGGAGAACAGCCTTCAGTCAAAGGATGCAGGCAGCTAGCCAAATCCACACTGACCGCAGATGAAGAGCTGAGATCAAATATCGCCTGAGCAGCACACAGGAATAAGTTGCTGGGAGGTTGTGAAAGACAACAGATGAGGCAAGGGAGACAGGACCTTGGTTAGGGTCTGCAGTGTCATGCAGGAGGCAGTGTGGACAGCACAGCTATGTGAAGTTTTGAACAAATGCAGAAGTCCTATGTGGCTGACTGAGGTTGATGAAGCCTTTTCAGGCCATCATCACATGTTTATGACCAAGGAAAAGTTAAAATCCAGCAATCCTTAGTGAACAGTCTGGAAACAGAGGGATGTATTGCTCGCTTGCACCATCATTTGTACCTGGTCTTTCCAATGAAATCTTTGTGTGTTAGTTCTCGTACAGGGTACAAATACAAACCATAATTTAACTTAAAAGAATAGAATAGAATAGAATAGAATAGAATAGAATAGAATAGAATAGAATAGAATGTTTCAGTTGGAAGTGACCTACAACAATCATCTTGTCCAAGTGCCTGACCACTTCAGGGCTGACCAAAAGCTAAAGCCTGTTATGAAGGGCATTGCCCAAATGCCTCTTAAACACTGATGGGCTTGGGGCATTGACCACCTCTCTAGGAAGCCTGTTCCAGTGTTTGACCACTCTCTCAGTAAAGAAATGCTTCCTAACGTCCAGTCTAAACCTCCCCTGGTGCAGCTTTGAACCATTCCCATGCATCCTGTTGCTGGATACCAGGGAGAAGAGCTCAGCACCTCCCTCTCCCCTTCCCCTCCTCGGGAAGCTGCAGAGAGCAATGAGGTTCCCCCTCAGCCTCCCTTTCTCCAAACTAGACAAACCCAAAGTCAGTCCTTAGCCGCTCCTCATAGGACATGCCCTTCAGCCCTACCATCAGCTTTGTTGCCCTCCTCTGGATGCATTCAAGGACCTTCACATTGTTCTTAAATTGTGGGGCCCAGAACTGCACACAGTACTCAAGGTGAGGCCGCACCAACACCAAATACAGCGGGACAATCACCTCTTTTGACCGGCTGGTTGTGCTGTGTTTGATGCACCCCAGACTGCGGTTTGCCCTCTTGGCTGCCAGGGCACCCTGCGACCCATATTGAGCCTGTTGACCAGCACCCCCAGATGCCTTTCTGCAGGGCTGCTCTCCAGCCACTCCTCTCCCAATTCATACTTGTGCCCGGTGTTACTCCGTCTGGCATTTGGACTTGCTAAATTCCATGCCATTGATGATTGCCCAATGCTAGTATTTATCCAATGTTAAATACTGGTATTCTTTAGCAATTAAATACTGTAGTACATAAAATCTAAATTAGTCTAATAAGAGTGTGTGTGTATATATATGTAGAGAGAGAGATTACATAAATATATGTTATTAGACCATTTTATTAAACTTGAAGTCCTCTTATTGTGTCCATTTTTCAATGAAAAGCTTTTTGCTCAATTATTCCTCTGGATCCAATTAGCTTTTTATTTCAAGATAAGAAAATCAGGCAAAATAAGAAATAATTATCTTAGTCTGAACAAAAGAAAAAGGCAGACTGGGGAAACGATCATGTTGGGAGTTGTGTGATAATTCCTCTGAGAGTTATGAGTGTTAGTTTAGATATTTTTGTAGCATATCTATAAAATTCTTCAAAACACATTACAAATTGCAGTGCTTTCACTTCTTTTAACTCTTCTCACAACATTTAAGGCACTACTTCAGTGTGGAGTTGTTTTCATGTCCCATCTTCCAGAGACAGGTGATTGTTTGTTTAACTTCGATATTTCAAGCCCTCTTGCTTGCAAACCAGTAAAGAAATTTGTAAATGAAAACTATGAACTCGGAGTATCAGAATGCAGATAAATCCCTTCTCAAAGCTTCTTTTTTATTATTTTATGATTAACTTTTAAAAATCTCTTCCTTTTAGATATCTGAAATATGTTAGCTTCTTGATATGACAAACAGATCTTGTTGTAGGCAAACAACTGCACTGGGACTTATCATATGCATGCTTTTCTCCAAGTTTTCAGAGTATGCAGGAAAGGGAAATAAAAATGAATTGCTTTTTTTCAATTCCACGTATTTTTATATGACTAGTTTCTCTCCATTTTAAAACTCTTACTTCTTTTTTTTTTCCCCCACAAACTGAACTCATGCCCTGTTGCAACAATGAAAGGCCAAGTATTGAATGCAGTCAGCAATTTACCCTTTTCTCCTCTAGAAAGGGTCTGTCAAGGTCATGACTGAGGCATCTGAGGCAACAGTAGTTAGCTTCAGAGTTTTGAAATAGAGCTGTTTATTCTTTGCCTGCTCTGTTCTGTGATCTTGCTGTGCTGCTATTGACTTCAGTGACCGTAGAACTGGGTCTCTTTACAGAGAAACAGCAGCCTTGTTTGTAGACCAACAGTAACAACACACTTTTCCTATCCTGAGCGTGCTATTCAAATATTAATGAACGCTAGCTCTAATAGTATTTCTGGTGCAAGTAATTGTTGTCACACAAGCAGAACTGGAAAAGTGCTCTCTTTGTCTTCCCAATGGATACAGCTCAATTATTTTAGTTGTGAGCTTCCCACGGTGATGTGCTGGAGAATCTCAATACTGATTTGGAAGAGGCAGTCCTAGGTCTAAGACACTATGAACGATATATGTTGTCTTGTATCAGAAGAAGAAGATACTATTTTAACACAGTAAAATTCCCTTTATAACCAATAGACATACTGAAAACAGTGCTGGGACAAAATCCCTTTTTTGAGACTGTTAACAAATACGCCTGCATGTGTTTACTTTTAAAGAGGTAAAATGGTATTTGCCATCACACAGAATAGAAGAAACTGATTTTAGAATCACACCATTATCATGACAGAGCAAATGGTGTTCTGGCTAAATCTACTGAAAATAATTCACCTTTGGACAAAGAGTAATTCTGGAAAATTTCAGCCAATAAAGTAACATTTTTGAAATATTGAAAATTATTCCAAAATTACAGTAGAATATAAAAGTATATGCAGGTTTGATGATAATAGTTTTTGTAATGTTGTTGAATGCTCTTTTATGATTCCAAGCTAAAGGACTCAATGAGAGACATGTTTTTCTCTCCCTATCTTTCTCTTTCTGTCTGATAGGAATAATAACATGTGCCACCGAACCGTGCATGCAATTAAGCACTTAATGATAATCTGGCTTTTAGAGTCATTTTATCACTACCTGTACTTTGCTACCTAGAAAGTTATCTCTTCATTCTACAGACTAAGTGGTTCTTTATAACAAATGACATTGTATTTTACATCATACCCTTTTCTAAAAGATATGAAAAACCATGGCATATGCTTTCATGAGTCTGGTCTTTTTTCTTTTTTTTTGTTTTGCTTAACAGATACGTTAGGTCAAGAACGAAGCATGACATTGACATGAGAATAGGGATACATTCGGGATCGGTTCTGTGCGGAGTGCTGGGCCTGCGAAAGTGGCAGTTTGATGTCTGGTCATGGGACGTGGATATCGCAAACAAACTCGAGTCAGGTGGAATTCCTGGGTAAGGCAACGTGTATGTCCCACAGTCAGGAAACATTGCCAACACAGTATACTGTTAACCTTGCCAACAGATTAACTGTCTTACATTATTTCATTGACTATGACCTTTTTTTTTTTTTTTTTTGCTATTTTGCGGTTGGCAAGGATTTGTGAGGCTATAGTCAAAAAAGGTAGAAATAGTCAGCTTGCAGAGGCATTGGAAAAGACAAAAATATTTCTTTTTCTTTGCCAGCTATGATTTCCTGAAAAAGGTCAGTGGTTTTATTCAGCGCATATAATACTCAGAGGTAGCTCAAATTTCCCAGTTAGGTGTTGACCATTCCTGAGTTTTCCCAGGCTTCATTCTCTCATCCTTTGCATTCAAATGCTGTTGTGAGCCGCAAGGCTGCAATTTATTTTCTTTCATAATGCACAAAGTGTGGGAAGAATTATATGTTCATAGGTCGTTACGCTAATAACAAGGTGTTATGGACAGCAGGCTCTCTAGGAAGTATTTTAAATGATTTCATGCTTTAGTAAATGTTTTGAGACATTTATGTCAGCCTGTCTATATGTGAAAATATATGGTTTTCCATTAGGCTGCCTAGTTTTTCTTTGTCTGAGGTGGTTGATTCTCGTGAAAGATAGAATGTTATTTCTGCCTGGCGCGGCCTATATCTCACAGTAGTTTGGAAGCTGCAAGTCCTAAATTTGAAGCAACAGTAACGGTTGCAGGGATCCTCTGTTCACTGTCAGTTCCATCTTCCATTGATGAAAGATGTAGCAAAAGATCCCCAACAACAGTTTGATTTTTGGCCATGGAACATAGAAGCAATAACAGTGGACTTCTCTATGCAGAAAAAGTCTAAGTGATGCTGTCATCTTGAGTGAGAGAGGTTTTAAGTCATCAAATCTGAGTGATGTGCTGTACTCCCTACACACATGTCAGGATCTGTCAGAGCTGTCGTGTTCCCAGGAAGTTAGAAAGATATTTGCTTTATATTATATTTGCGAATGCAGGCCCTTTCACCGTTCCCCATAGTAGACCTTTATACTAATATGTATTCTTAGAATCAGCAGAAAATGAAACATTGCATGCCCTGAAAACAATTTCTATACTCTGCATATGTCACCAGTGTATAAAACTGCAGAAAAAATTTTCTTTCCCTGCTGCTTATCCCACATGATAGCCCGAGATGACTAAGAAAGGTCACATGCTGTTTTGTTAACATGAGCAAATCAATCATCTAAGTTTCACCATCCACACCTGCAAAAAGACTAGTTTATTGCTGTTAATGTGTGCAAGTAGTATGGCTATTAATGAATAACCTAGAGAATGGACCACCTTGCTGCTGCTGATAAAATGCCTGGCTAGGTTCAGTCTATTGAAGCAGAGTGATTTCCCCTCCTGTGTATCAGTTTGCCAACAGAACAAAGCCTGTATGTGACAGCAATTCACTAAAAGTCTCCCAAAACAGTGATTTACACCAGGCTTTCCTCATGCGCAGAGCAGATTTAATAGAGCGGTTAAGTTCAGTTCAGCCTCTCCTTACTTCTCCCTGCCGCCAGCATTCAAATCCCCCTTCCTGCCACAACACTGGGATCATTCCCATTCCCAAAACTGCTCTGCTTTCCTCCATTTTGTCAGAAAAGCTGCCCTGGGGTTATGAATGGTCCCGCTCCCCCAGTCTGGAGGCAGGAGAGAAGGGGCTCAGCTCTTCCCCTTGCCGGTGGCATGTCACCCTGAGACCTCATAAGCATGGGTGATGCAGGGACAGATTGCCCCCGAGTGAAGGAGCATGAGCGGGCAGCCCAACTGTCGTGGAAGGAGGCACTCGGGAGCACTAAGGAAAAGCAATCATTTCTGGTTTTCTGAGAAGAAAAAGATGCATCCACAACACCTGAGAAGGAAACCATGTAAGATCCTACAGTGTTATTTCAGAGACACTCTTCTGCCAGGACCCCATCTTCTAATTGTCTTCACTTAGTGTATCTAGGTATTAATCTATGGTATTGAATTGGCATAAAACCTAGCTAATAACTAGTTCTCCAGGATGTATCAATGACAGGTATCATCTAAAGCTTTGGGTCTGATATGTTTTCAACAGTAGGACAGGCTATATCTTTTTACTTCAATGCTCAGGTTCCCGATTTATTGCATTCATATAAAATTAGAAAGACATCTCTCCAGTATACATTTAAAGTTTTTTTAAGTAAGCTGTACATAAGTTGAAACCAGAAAATATTTTTAATCTACCAACTATTCATTAATATTTGGTCCATTTAAGGGTATTACATCAATAGCCAACTCCACACTCTAGTTAAAACTGTTATCATTTCCATTATAAAATCCATATGTCAGGGCTTTATAATGCAATCTTCCCAAATTATATTAGTGGAAACTCAGCACAAAGATAGTCACCCTGGCAACTAATGTATCATTTTCTTTTTCTTTCTTCTTTTTTTTCTTTTTTTTTCATTAGTACTTTACTTAAATCAATTTAGTCTATTTGGGTTTCTAAGAGCTAGGAAATGCATTGTCTTTCTGAGAGATCATATGATCTGGTTTTAAAGTCCAAGCCAAAAGTTGCTTATATGTGAGAAACATTCTTACTGTTTTTTATTGTCAGTTTTACTGACATTTGACTACAAAAGAGTACTAATCTCTGTGGACATCATAACGGCATGGCTTCAGACAGTGTAAGTTGTACAAAACCTGTGTTGACTTCAGAGGGAAGCTGAGACAGGTTAAAAATGGCTGAGATGACACAAATTTTTGATCTTAATTATACACTGATATTTAATACTCTACATAGACCCAGTTTGTGCCAAATTCTGATACTCCTGGGTATTTCACAATACTTAAAGACAACCAGCACTTTATTTTCTGGCAATACATGCACATCATACACGTGCTTATAGCCTTTCTACTCCAGCAGTATTTTATCCAACTTAACTCTGTTGTGGCATCCTGTAAGTTCCAGAAGAAAGTTCCTAAGGGGTGTGCTAGGACCATTTCCTTCAGTGCAGACAAGCTCATTTGTGGTGCTTGAGAAAAATGCCTCAGCATGTGTCATTAAGAAATGATCAAGAATTTTAGCTGACTGAATTTTAGGAATCTGTCTGCAAGCCTGACTTTCAAAAAGTGCCATGCATGCAAATTTGAAAAATGAGCTGATTAATGGAATCGCTACATTTATTTGCTTGAGTTAGCTATGAAGCTGCATTATAAAGTATAGCATGGCTAACTATGTGGACGTGTTTTAGAGGTGTCTGCAATTTACCTTACATGTAGGAAGTTGAAGATTTCTTAAAAAAAAGAAATAAACCCCACTTTTTCTCTCTCTTTTTTTTTTTTTACTTGAACTTTTTTCTATCCTTCTCAAGCAATTACAGTTACCAAGCACCTCCAGGTTTGGTTGGAAGCCATCCAAAGCCTTATCAAGCTTTTGCAAAATCTGAGCTTTTTGTGTGTCATCTCTTGGATTCAACTTCACTTTTGCGAAAGCTTTTTGAACTAGTCACTTAGTCTTACCAGAATTATCACCCCACCCGACTTTATATCGTTTCCCTATTTCCCTAATTCACTTCAGATGCAATCAGAACACTAATTTCAACTGTCTAAGCTACCTCAGGTAACTGAAGGAAATTAAAGAGCTTTCACACAAACTGCTGTAATGTGTACCATATATTTTCCTCTCACCATATTTACCTGAAGTGGCAATTTTCATTCACTCTGAATAGTATTTTACTCAGGAAGGTCTCCCATTAAACTATTACTGTAAGCAAACGTATCAGGTGTGAATATCAAAGTGTTTTTCCTGTGACAGGACTTTGTGCATTCATGAGATCCTATTGATGGAAGCATGTCTTGAGAGTATTTGTCCCCAAATGAAGCTCATGTTTGTTGAATACACTATTTCATTTTCTTTATAGAAATCATCATATACAATAGAAAATCTTCTATTTATCCATCATGTTAAAAATGATGCAGAGTTCATAAACTCCTTCTTATCTATGTATACTAGAGCACAATCAGTATTTGCTACTACTTATTTCACTTATGCAGGAGAATTCACATCTCCAAAGCCACTCTGGACTGTCTGAACGGGGATTATAAAGTTGAAGAAGGGCATGGCAAAGAGCGTAATGAATTCTTGAGGAAACATAACATTGAGACTTATTTAATTAAACAACCTGAGGAGAGTCTGTTGACTTTGCCTGAAGATATTGTGAAAGAGGCTATCAGCTCCTCCGACAGGAGAAACAGTGGAGCAACATTTACTGAAGGATCCTGGAGCCCTGAACTTCCATTTGATAATATAGTGGGAAAACAGAACGTAAGTCAAACTTCCTTTAATGTCATCAAGTATAAACGCATGCTTGAATGCATTTCAATAACGGAAGCCTCAGAGGAGACAAATTCATCTTTAACCTTTATTCTAACACGTACTGTAACAGCAGAGGACTAAAGAAATTGTTTCAGGGCAGAAATAAATCACGTATCCAAACTGGGGAAATGCCAAGGGACCAGAGGTTTTGGGGTTTTTCCAACTGAAAGTAAATACTACACAGCTTAGTTTTAATTGAACCAGTCCATAAAGAAGTAAATTAAAAGCAAAGCTAAAGTTACTAAACTAGCTGGAACATTCTAGTCAGAGTGTGTATCTCATTGCATAGCTTCACTGCACTGCCATCAAAGTAAAGGGACGACTGAATGGACGTTTTGCCAGAGGAAAAAGCATGGTGTAGGCTGTTGATATGTAAGGGAAAGAAAAAAGATCTATCTTAAAAAAGCACCTTGTGAAAACAGTTTGTCCATTCTTTGCTTTTCTTTTTTTTTTTTTCTTTTTTAACAAAAAACATTAAAAACTTAGATTCTAAGACATAATTAAGGTTCACTAGCAGGTGAGTTAGACTCCTAAGTCATGCGTAGCTCAATAGAAATATGAGATAATAAAAATTGCTCCTGATCCGATCTTTTCTAAAAGCATTGCATGGCTAATTGCTAACACCCTGGGAACCAGCAATTCTTGTACAGTCATAAAAACCACTTGTAAAGTCTGCTGGCTTAGAGGAATTAAAGATGGAAAGGTTAAAATGCCCTCAGACACCACTCTCTTCACTGCATTTGAAAGATTGATGAGTCTTTATGAAACAAGGTCAGCTGGAGTTTTCTTCCATTATTCTGAGGGATCTGCAATGACATGACATATCCTTTCTTCTGCTGCACATCCTTAGTCCTACTTGTCTGCACTGTCTGTTGAACTTCAAGCGTTGTTGTGTGGAGGTCTTGCTTTGTCAACCGTCTTCTGCTTACAAATCTGCTCAGAAGTGATAAGCCTTCACAATCAATCAGCCCATGGTGGTCTCTTCGTCTCTTCAAACTGAACTGGAGCATGGCATAGTTTGCTATTATATAAACCACCTGTTTTATATATGTTCTGTACATCTGTGTATCTGCATGTACGCTGCCTTTTAGTATTCACTGTAGTTTGTTGACCTGTCTCTATACTCTCATTTCATTAGGAATAGAGGTATGAGTGCATGCTGCTGTGAATATCTTCTGATCTCTGTTTCTTCTTCTTTCCCTTTAAGTCATTCCAATTTCTGTAGTCCAAAAAATCTATTCAGACTAAGCTATCATTTAATTGATCATTTTCCCAGCTAAACCTGACCTTGATACTAACAAAGAGGAGGAATGAAATAAAAGACTAGTGTTTTTATTCTATTATTGAACAACCTCCACTCAATAGACTAGTAAAAAGTCCATAAATTGTTGAAATAGGTATAACTTAACAGTTGTTTTAAAGCAAATTTTTGTCTTATGACAATAAACAATCCATTTTTAGAATAGTTTCTTACTGTTTTTTAAGAACTTGTTGTTCTGCTGGAAATAATTATAATTTTATATTACACAGCTTTACAGTAAGCTTTTTGGTGGAGGCAAGATTTAAATAATCCGTTATTCCATGTGTGATTCCATTATTATGTAATTTACAATTTTAAAGTTGAGACAATAGGCATTACTGCTCATAAATAATGTATTTCAGTTCAAAATTCAGATGATAGATTTAAATTATGATAGGATATAGTAGCTTTTTTTCAGGGGTGTGTCAGCCTTGGACAGAATAAGCATTTAATAACATTAATTATGCCACCTAAAGGTCACTGGCAGCAGCAGACGTTGAGAATCCAAGTAGCAGCAACCCAACAATTAATCACTCCGTATGTTTGAATATTTGCCAATACCATTTAAATGGTTTCTTTACCCAATATAAGTTACAACAAAAATTGAGCAACTCTGATCACATGTGTCTTACTTTTAGCTGTAGTTATGTTAGGAAGAATATGAGATGGCAAAATCTCTGGTGTGTTTTCTTGCCAAATTCAAATTCATCACAATCCATATTCTTTACCTCAACCTCATTTTCTATGGGCAACCTAAAAGAGTGAATTGAAGTTGTGTTGATATGAGTAAGGAACAGAATAACCACTCTTTATGTACGTAGTCACAGACATTAACAAAAGCTGCATGTGTCTACAGCACAGTTAGCACCATGTGTCTTAGCTGTGGTGGTGAGGTAAGCCAAGGATGCAAGTGTCTGCTCTGAAATTCAGACCATGCCCAATATGGATGGAGTTTTCTCTTATTGAAACAGGTGTCTGGGCTTCTTTTCTAAAGCACAGGAAGTTGGACAAACATTATTTTATGTTAAGAGAGTGAAGGCCCATTTGCACAGAGAGGTAGTAGATGCCTCACCCTTGGAAACATTCAAGGTCAGGTTGGACGGGGCTCTGAACAACCTGATCCAGTTGAAGACGTCCCTGCCCATGGAAGGGGGGTTGGACTAGATGACCTTTAAAAGTCCCTTCCAACCCAAACCATTCTATGATTCTATGACTCTATGATTCTAAGGCCTCCTCCTCTAAAATAAATTAATAGCTGATGAAGTTGGATTTCTTTTCTGGGCCTTCCAAAAGAAGTAGCTGAAGGTGTAATATGGTCACTGTGTGTGATGCTAGAGGCACCTGATGGGCCTGTAAAGACGTGAATTAGGAAAAAAGCAAATTAAAATGTCTGTGTCTTGTATAAGCATATTCTAGTGATGGCTCCAATAACTCTTACCAGCTATCACAAAAATTATACATAAAGACTGTCAAAATGACAGACAAGTATAAACAACATGGTGGAATTCAGTTCAAAACCAAGGCACCTGCATTTGGGTATCTACTGACCGTCCCAGGTGTCGATCTTCCACACAGCTCAGCTTCTAAACATAAGGATCTAGTGCTATATGCAGTTCTGTAGGGTGCCTAAGACATCCATATGACAAAGGGCCTATAAAAGAATTGTGATCACTGGACTACCAGTTAGAAGCCAAGTAAGAGACTCTGATGTCCCAAATAGTGCGAAACATCTATGCCGAAAAGTGCTGAGTAAGAGCTTGATTCAGCTTCTTAACCGTGGCTCTCTTGCAGTTTGAGATACCCAAGCACAATCCAACTGGTCCCCACCACCGACCAGCAGCGCATGGGGTTCCTGTAGGTGTTGTGCCGTATCTCCTAGCTCCAGATTGTTGTCCAGGATACCCTAGGGCACCTCAGCTGACCATAGCTGCATATGATTGGGCAACTGAAATTATCCAGAGTGTATATTGCCAGTAACAGAAGCTTAGACACCAAGCACCTAGACACCTTCATTTAGGTGTCTTCCTCTTGAACCAAATCCTACCTGTCTCTTTAAATATGTGACCTTGTATTTCCCTATTTCTGTCCAAGACCTGGTGTTTGCAGTACAAAAAAAATAATTTGAAGTCTTCCTAGAGTTTTCTAAATTAAGAATTTCCCTTCTTGTTAAGGTCAGGATGCTTGGAATTGTTGCATGAAAACTTTGTAGGAAGGAAGTAAAATCTAATCCCAGCTACCTTTTTAAAATCTCTATAAAATATCTCTAAAGTTGACGTTTTATTATTTGTTTGTTTTAATTCATCCTATCTTTTAGTCTCTCATGCAAGTTTGGCTGGGCTTCTTCCTGACAGAACCTTGTATGTGTTCCTGTATGATGAATGGTTATTGTCAGCATCAGGAAAGTTCAAAAGCCTGTTGTAGGATTCACAGCTGTATCTTCCATACAGCTGTTCACAAAAATGTAGGGGAAGTAATAGGGAGAACCAATATTTCATTACGTTGGCATAACACAGTCTTAACAGATGCAGAGCAAAGAGGGGGATACAGAGAGAAAATGTGGTTAGAACATATTCTTGGGACAATAATTTGCATGGTATTTTTCATTATTGTTATTACTAATTACAGGGAAGCCGTTTTCTTAAGTATGTGTATGGGTGTGAGGGAGAAAAGACTCCACTGAACTAAAATATGAATTTCCTTGTTATCCTCTGAAAATAAATGCAACTTCAGAGTCCATTTTTGCACCAATACTACTGGTACCATTGCCATAGTGCTGATATTATGTCATTTTCATCTACCACGAATTGTAAATCACTTCATACGTTCAGCAAGAAATCAGTTCTTCATATTAATCAAATTTTAAAATATAATTTAAAGCAAAATGTAGTCACTTACTAGGGTGAATTGAGATCGCTCTCCTTATGTAAATAAAACACAATGCCCAACTTAAACATTAGGGACTTTCTCCACCCTCATTCCCAGTGGAGATACAGCAGTATGAACTAATTCTGAGGAATTAATGCACGCAACAGCATCTGATGTGATCTCGTCCTTCAACAGTGAATTCAGACCCACTTGTGTGATTTCAGCCACCACAAATTGATAATAACTTTTCTGCATAGCTCAGTTTAAAAGAGCTAGGAACACCTAAACTGAAGTAGTGTCTTAGTGTTAGTAATACAGTATTTATCCAGTTGACTCAATGGATTGTTTTCCTGGGATTTGGCTTTAACCTTAGAGTTTCCACCTTAACTCCAAGATTAACATATGGATTCATGCATATCTGAAACCTTAGTATGAGAAAAGTTTCCTTGATACTTTTTTTCTCTAAATGTCGATGATATTAATTTTCTGGAGGGAAGATGGGGAGATGTTAGTAGAGTGGTTTGCCAAACCTTCTCTACTGAAGTCCTTTTTCTACTAAAGCAAAAAGGAAGATTGCTTTTCACTTCAATAAACAGAAGATTTCAGTCCTGATATTCTTTTCTGCCTAAATATTAGACCCTTAAGTTACTCAACAAAAGATGGAATATGAGAAAACAAGATACTGTTTGTGACTACAGTGTCTCTGGACTTCATTTTAGGATTGTAAAGAAAGTTGTCACTTGCTGTTTGACAGTGGGTCAACCACCCTGTGTTTTAATGTGCTCTCCAAGATTCGTTAGAATGCAACTGCTGACTATACTTTGAAAACAAACAAGGGAAACCTCCCCATATCTTTTGCTGTACATAATGCCATGATCCAAAAGAATTGGCTTTCCAGAGAAATCTAGTGATAAATCCATCCCAAACTCCTGTTCCCAACAATGCCCAGTAGGAGATATAGCAGAAGATCTTTCTAGCAAGGACCTATGGGATAACTTTTCTCAAGCAGAAGTGTATTTCTTGTCTATAATAATTCTGAAATGTCTTATACTGTGATGTATGAAGGTTTATATCCTTTCCATTCATTAACATTTATTAACCCTTGGGAATATCACAGGTAGTAGAGTTTATTTTCCCATTCAAGTGGGAAAGTGCTGCTTCACTGTGGTTTGTGTCATGAAATGATACCATGAAACTGCCCTAAGTTATTGTCTTTATGAAAGCACACTCTACCTCTTTCCTGAAGGTGAAGCACTCTTCATACTATGTCCGCTAGCTTTCCTTTGTGAAGCTCTGCAAAAATGTTTTTTTTCTTTTGATTAGTCAGTGAAATACCAAAGGAATAATGCATTTGAGATAATATTTAAAATAATAATATGAATTGCAGTTAAATTAAATCATATAGCCTAACTATAATCTAGACTGACTGAAATATACCAGTAGTGAAGAAGAACATATTATTTGAAAACCCGTGCTGAAGTAATCAGAAATGTCACCTTCTTCACTCCTGCCTAACTGATCTGTTCCTTAACTATACACATTCAGTAACTTTAAGATCAAGAACATCATTACTGCTGTTTTGTGACTTCTGTTTTCTGTAGCTTCTATTCTTAGTTGTTAAAACACACCATTGAGTTAGATACCCTGCTGTGATTTTGGTGTGTACTCCCCTCATGCATGCTCTAATAATTAATTAGCAGAATCTGGAAAGGGGAATATATTCCTAGTGTTCAGTGCAGTAGCAAACCTCCTAGTGTATATAGAAGAGGGCATTAAAGTACTCCCCTTAATGTACTGTATGTGTTTAGTGGAACAGACTTATTATTTTACACTTCTATAGATTTCATTGAATGAATTGCATGGAATGCTGTAATGGTTTGCAATGCAACATGATCTAAAACATTGCATTTTTAACCCAAGGGGACCAGCAGGTTTATTCTGTTTGCATGTGCTTTCCCCTAGACTCTGGCTGCCCTAACAAGAAATTCAATAAATCTGCTTCCAAACCATCTTGCACAAGCTTTGCATGTCCAGTCTGGGCCTGAGGAAATTAACAAGAGAATAGAGCACACCATCGACTTACGGAGTGGCGATAAATTGAGAAGAGAGCATATCAAGCCTTTTTCACTGATGTTTAAAGACTCCAGCCTGGAGCATAAGGTAGCTGGGTCTTGGTAGCTGCATTATTCGCAACTCAAGTTGTAATAAATGTCCACTGAAATAGAAAAGCTGTAGGTTCTAGCTTGCGTTGTTTGTTTTCTGGTTTTGTTTTTCTTTTTCATTTTGTTTCAGTTTTCCGAAGTTGGGACGGAGCTAGAGGTCATAACAGACAGTGCCATGATGCAGGTGTTATAATGCTGCAATAATTACATTTCATTGTTGGAAAATGCCTACACTGAGCAAACTCTGCTTCTGGAAACAACAGCCATTGCCAGGTTTCATTTGCTGTCTAGTACAAGCAGTTTTCTGACAGATGACAGGTTGCTTTGGCACAAATGGTGATTGAGCATATTAATAAACTGACACTTCTATTCAAAGCATATATCTATATTTATATAGATATGTTTCTTTCATTCAGTGATAGGATCCACCTGACATCCTCTAGGCAGCTGTTATGTTTATTTCAAGTCAAAACTAATTTGTCAATTCTTTCGTTTAAACATCCTTTTTTTAACATCTGCTTCTAAGAGGTAAATATTGTTCATGTCTTTGCTGCTTCTCAACAGCAGTATGATCTCACTAATTTCTATTTCAGTCTACATCCAGATGTAAGTTATAAATTAAAAAAGATAAGGCAATGGGAGACTTTTCCTTGCAAACTGATGACATGGGGTGGGGTTGCACAGATCCCTCATGATTTCCTTGACTTGTATGCTATTACAATGCAGCAACAGCAGGTCTGTGATAAAATGTGCACTTGGACTGAAAAGAAAGAAAAATAACGGGGAATTGCAAGCATGGATGCCCACTTCTCTATCATCACTTTAACCTCCACCGGAAAACAGACTTTTTTACTTGACTTATGGGAGACCAGGTGGTACCAGTGATGAGAGCTTAATGAAAACCACTGGAAAAGAAAAATTCTTCTTGAAGTATATTTAAGCCCTTATTTCACAAGCAATCCTGCAGAAGGAAAAGATTCAATTTCCCCATGAGGATATTTATGGCACTGAGACACAAGGTAGAATCCCCAAAGTCGAATTAGCCACTACTGCTGCAACAGAAGATATGAAGATATTTCTTTCCATGCAATCATCATGCAAAGCTGGCAGGGACCCAGAGGAAGTGAAATCCAAGATTTCTGATATCCTGTGAATTACCATCTAAAGGTCATGAGTAATCTTTAATCATTTCAAGGCACAAGGTCAAAAAATAAGGTGAAAAAATCTAGGCAAAATAGCATTTATCCTAGAAGGTGGGAGATGGTATATGAGAAATTTTTTTGTGCAAAAGAGGAAACAGCCTGGTCATAAACAACTTGCTGAATGAGCAAGTTAGTCAATGGTTCACCTGGTCTTACATTACTATTTAATAAAAATGAGGCCTGAACATGGGTTGGAGTAAAGGGACACTGCCCAGAATCAGATCCTGTATTCAGAATATAAACCTTCTTGTCATTTTAAACTTCACAATTAGCAGCCACAAGGAAAATCTATACAGAAAGGGTAGATTTTCATTTAAATGCAATTTAAACAAGAGGGGGAAAAAACCCCCATGTTCTAATCCATCACATTACATAGATCAGGTTTTAAATAGAATCATAGAATCATAGA